GTCTACCCTCAGCATGTTCAAGCTGGAAAAGGGAGGGGGAAAACACCCACTCGGGGGCAGGGAGGTGAGGGTCTAGAAAGACACATTTGAATTACTGAGAACATTGGAAACCTGGTGCCTGTGGACTCTATCACCGCAAAGTTTTCACTCCTGAATGGAAATTTCCAAAACCTGTGTTGTAAACTGTCTTGCATATGGTCCTCTAGTAAGAGCAGCCTTTTTGCTTAAGTACATGGCAGCAGTGCCATCTACTGGTAACTAGGTGGGCACTATAGAACAATATTCTAGGGTCATCCTTTTTTCATAAAGCAAATGAAATTTTTGGAATAATAATAGAAAATGACATTAGAAATATCTTTAGAGATCACCAAGGCCATATGTCATCTTATAGATACGAATTTGCCCTATGTAGGTACCACATTTTTCTTTCTTTCTATTGATTCAATGGAGCCTGAAATAATATCTCAGTAAGAAAACTGTAGCCATCACTACTCAATTACATTAAAGATCTCATGTAAACCAGGAACTGAAAAGCAGTTAAAATCCATTCTACAAGCATCTGAAGAGAGCTTCCCAATAGAACATTCTGTGAAGATCTGTAATATCAGCCCTGTCTAATACAGTAGGCACTGGACACGTGTGGTTATTGAAATGTGACTAGAGAAATTAGGTCTTTAATTTTATCTAATTTGAATACACTTTCACGTTAAAATTAACCACATAAAGGCTGGCAGAAAAAAATTTAATGGTATGGATTGAACTGTAGCCCTACAAAATGTGTTATGAATCCTAGCCTCAGTGCCTGTAGCTATAATTCCATTTGGGAATAGGTGGTCTTTGTACATAATGAGGCAGGACTGGTGCAAAATGTGTCTTTTATTAATAACTTGCACACCTCACGTTAAATACTGAAGAATGGCTATGATAAAAATATTTAGTGGCACGAAAGCATCAAAAGAAGATTGAAGGGGCACCCAGTCGCTGTACTAAAAAGATTTGGTTAATGCAGAAACATTTAAGGAAGTAGCATATGGTCAAGAACCAGTGGGATTGAAGGAAGAAGTCCAAACTTCACCCAAGGCATTCACAAAAATAAGGCCCCAGGAATTGATGGAATACTAACTAGTGTTTCAACTAATGGATGCTCACTCATCTATGGCAAGAAATTTGAAAGACAGCTAACTGGGCAATCAAGTGGAAGATATCCATATTTGCTCCCATACTTTTTTAAAAAAGCCAACAGAATGTATAAATTCTTGAACAATATCACTAATGTGACATAAAAAGCATCATACATGAAGAAAGTAAAAGGTCACCAAAGACAGGACAGAAAGAAAAGGCCAAAATGGAGGTCAGAAGAGACTCTGAAACTTGTCATTGGACATAAAAGAAAGGAATGGATGAAGTAAGAGAACTAGATAGATTTCAAAGGGCGGCTCCAGAAAACAAAGTGATATAATGAAATATAATGGCTGCCGCTTCCATGAGCATTGACTGTGAATCCAAGTCAAATGCAGTTCTTGACAATTTCAATTGTTTCTCCTTAGCAAGGAGCTGAAGTATCTAAAAGCCATTTGAGCAGCCCATTGACCAAGAACTACTCAGAAATTAAAGCTGAATTTAACAGGGGTTATCACTACTGATGTGAAAGAAATATTGGTTGAAATCAGACAATACCAGAAAGATGTTTCCTTGGATTTTATTGACTATGCAAACTCATCCAACTGTATAGATCATAATCAATTATGGGTAACACTGACATGAATGGAAATTCGAGAATGCTTAATCGTGCTCATGTGGAACCTGTACAAAGACCAAGAAGTAGTTATCCACACAGAACAAGGGGATATTGCATGGCTTAAAATCAGGAAAAGTGTGTGTCAGGGTTGTATCCTTTCTCTATACCTATTCAATCTGCATGCTGAGCAAATCATTCAAGAAGCTGGACTCTATGAAGAAGAATGTGTTATCAGAATTGGAAGAAAACTCAACAACAACAAGGAATATCATCAGGGATGTCAAATAAATTTTGGCTGAAAGCAGAGCCTACCATAAAGAAATTTACCTGTGTTTTGTTGACTATGTAAAGGAATTTTACTGTGTGGATCATAACAAATTATTGTTAACACTGTGAAGAACTGAAATCCCAAAATTCATCGTGCTCATGAGACACCTGTACATAGACCAAAGAGCACTTGTTCAAACAGAACAGAGAAGATACCACAGGATTTAAACTTGGAATTTACAATCCTGTGGTAGGGCCATGTCCCTTCCTAATTCTTATCCAATCTGTATGTTAAACAGTTATTCTGAGAAACTGTACTATATTAAGAAGATGGCACCAGGATTGGAGGAAAGGCCACTAACAACCTTTTGAATTCAGATGACACAGCCTTACTTGCTGAAAGCAAAGAGAGTGTGAAGAATGTTCTGAAGAATATCAAAGCCCTAAATATGGATTATAAGTGTCTTCATAATTAGCCTAAGAAACAATATCTTGATAGAGATGAATGAAGTCATGGGTTGCGTTTTGCTTGGATTCACACTCAACACACATGGAAGCTGCAGCCAGAAAATCAAATGACATATTGCATTGGAAAAATTGATTGCAAAACAAACAAACATAAACGACACGTTGAAGACTAAAGTGTGCCTGCTCTAAGCCCTGGTATTTTCAGCTGCCTTGCCTGCATGTGGAAGCTGGTAATAAGGAAGGCCCAAAGAATGGATACACTTGAGATGTTGTTGAAGAATATTGACTTTTCCATGGACTGTCAGAAGAAGGAACAATTGTGTAATGGAAGAATTACAGCCAGAAAGCCCTTTAAAAGGGAGGATGGAGATACTGCATCTTGTATACTTTGCACATGTTGTTAGCAGGAAGGGTCAGTCCCTGGAGAAGAACATCATGCTTAAAAAAAGTAGAGGGTCATTGTGAAGGAAGACCTAGAGTAAAGCTGGATTGACAAGAGTAGCTGCCACAGGGGCCTCAAACAAGGCACTGTGTGGACGGCACGGGACCAGGCGCTGTTCCGTTCAGTTGTACATGAGGTCACTATGAATTGGAGGGGACTGAGTGACACCTGACAACAATAGCAAACACACCCCTCGCCCCCAGTGTGATCCCCCCCATAAAAAAAGTGTCTCCAGATGTAGCCAAGTATTTCCTTAGTGGCAAAATTATCCCTAGATGAGAATCACAGGCCTTAAGGCCACTCACTGTATTAGACAACATGGCTCTACAATATACTTAATATTTAATGGTACTGGGGTTGAGCCACACAACTGACCCCCAACTCGGCACAGCAGGGGGCTTCATTATAAGAATGGCGAGGTTTGGGGTGGGACCCCCAAGCACCGGAGACTTAAAGTCATTCTTTTCAGCTTTAGCCTCCCATGTAAGGAAGAAGTTAGAGCCAGGATAGTCATGTTGAGAAGTTCTGCCTCTGTCTAAACTCCCCAAAACTCAATTCTGTCAACTCGTGGGCACCCTGTCAGATGGAGAACCGCCTCATAGGCTTTTCAAGGCTAAAATATTCACAGAAGCAGATTGCCTCGTCTCACCCCTGAGAAACAACTGGTGGGTTCAGACATGACTCTGAACCTTTGGGTAGCAGCCAAGCACTTAACCACTGTGCCACCCTGGCTCCTTCAAAGCTCCTTGTATTGGCCCCAAGTTGTTTGCTTTTGCACGGGAAGCTGGGATCCATTAGCTCCAAAGAAGGAAAGAAACCCCATCCGCACTCAACGCACATTTGTGCACACCTAGTTCTTAAAATTGCCCCACTCCCCTGCTTTAAATGATCCAAGGAAGTGCACCCCTCCATATGGGATGAAACCCCTGTAGTTACAAGCATCCAAAGGTGTGGCTTGCTGTCAGTGTTCTCTGGCCCAGCTATACACCGCCCCCCATCCCCCTCTCCGCTGCTGAAGGATGTCAAGAAAGGTGCATATACGCTCCTTCCGC